GGTGGAACTTGCGGCAAAACCCCCTAGGAACAAAGGGTCCAGCGACCGACGAGGACGAATTGTTTGAACTCGTGCGCATATTTGATTGGGGTTTGCTCAAACGCGCATGACCAAAAGTTTGTGCACGGATCCAAAGTTCCCAGTGAGTATAACCCCAAGGTAGTTCAGCCGGATTGCTTTGCCGCAAGAGACGAAATTGCGTGTCATACAAACGCCAATCAGCCCCTCGTGTGGCCAAATCCCGCACTACCTCCCCGTATTTCATTAGTATTGGGGCCTCCAAGGGAAATTTTGCAGTGTAGACTCCAACGAAAATTTGAAAAGCCGAAGTCCATGCCTCGATATTGGGAATGGCCTTCGGCTTGTGTGACGGTTCTAAAGATAAAGCAGGGAGCGAGGAACCGCCTTGAGAGCTCACAGACAAGTGATACCGGGTATCACCTGCTCCTGAGCTCAGTAAAACACAAAAATCTATAAATTCGTGCGCCCATATTTTTGCTTTAACTTTAGCGCTAACATTAGCATCGATGGGCACGCTAATTGAGCAAAATTTGGCGGATCCCGACCCCGCTGACGGTGAGACGTTAATAAATTCGGTCTCACCTGTTATGTGATGCAAAGCAGATGCTACCGGCCCATGCATAGTGGTAGCATCTGCTAAATTACGAATATTATCGGACCCTACAACTAGAGGTACTTCTCTCTGTTCTGGTTCCATGGACGGAGGTGCCGGGAGAGTTGGTTGACTTGCCCCAAACGACGCGATGACGGCCTGTGACACAGCCGAGACAATTCTCTGCATCGCTTTCTCGGAGAGATCAGGCGGTGTGATGTTCGGCGACGCGGATGGTGTAGCAGCCATGGCAGGCGATGTTTCGACCCTGGCTGCACTGGTTGCAGTTGTAGATGCTGCTGTTGTCCGACGACGCCGCGAAGAGGCACTAGGTGCTGCTGCTGCTTGAGCTCGGCGCTGGACACATGTACTTGGGCGAGTTGCGGGCATTCTAAAAGGAAAATGTCAGAACGCAGACAGGCAGAATTGGGTTTGGCCAGAGTTTGCTGGTTGCGTCTGGTGAAGCGATTCGTGATATCGTTGTATATTTGTATAGCTATAAATGTATACGCAAAACGTGAACAAACAACGCGGCGGAATAATCATGGCCTACAGCGAAGGTAGCCGCAAAAGATCATCCTTAAGAATTGCTGCAATATCTACCACATTAAACATTGACAAACAAACAACGCAGCGGAATAATCATGGCATACAGCGAAGGTAGCCGCAAAAGATCATCCGTTTAAAGCGCTGCAAAATATAAAAACGGGCAATCTGAAAACAACATGCTGCACCGTCCCACAATATATTGATTTCAACTGTGGGCATCTGAAAACAATAAATTGCACTATCCCACTTAGACATGCATTTTTCCAAACACAGGATCAGCCCGTCATATATACCTAACATTAAATATCAGCACGGCACAAAGCAAGTACGAGGACATATACATACATGTACGTTAGCTGAACAAAAGACTTAACAGACTACGATAGGGAAACACATTCTATATACGTATATATAACCAGCTCGATAATCATGAATATGCCCTGTGCAGGAAAAATCCAATGTTGAAATCTCAACGTGGGCATCTGAAAACAGTCATGTTGCTCTAGCCCATAATAATATAACAAATATAGCCTAAGCATAATATATATCAACACCAAGTACTGATGAAGCTTCGCGTGACATAACTACATTTGTAACTCATGAAGGTCTCAAAAGATATAAACGTTTGAACTTTGGCACAAATAGTGCTGCTGAGATATTTCAAAATGTCATTCAGACCACATTCCAAGATATTGACGGTTGTATAAACATAAGCGACGACATACTAGTTTTTGCCAAAACACAACATGAACATGACATGACATTATAATCTGTTCTACAGCGTGCTAATGAAAAGAATTTAAGATTCAACGGTGACAAATGTGAATTTGATAAACCAAGCATCACGTTTTATGGTCATGTTTTCCCCATGTCCTAAAAAGATCGAAGCGATCAAGTCTCTAAAACCTCCAGCGAATGTTTCTGAACTTCGTAGCTATTTAGGAATGATAACATATTGCGGCAGACTGATTTATCCAAGATCTTGCAACACTGACTGCCCCATTACGTAAACTTACAAAGAAGGACATAAAATACGAATGGAAAGAATCACAACAACGTGCGTTTGATACATTACAAGAAAGATTGAACGAAAAAAACACTTTATCATACTTTGACCCTTCAAAAGACACCAAGCTCATTGTAGATGCCTCTCCCACTGGTCTAGCGGCAATATTAATACAAAATACCCCCAGCCAAAATGACGAAACTGTCGTTGCATATGGCAGTCGTGTCTCTTACACAAGTAGAACAAAGATATAGTCAGACAGAACGCGAGGCATTGGCAATTGTTTTTGGCTGCGAACATTTTCGTTTATTTCTCTATGGAATTCATTTCACAATCTACACAGACCATAAACCATTAGTATCGATTTTTCAGAATTCAAATTCACATTGCCCTGCACGACTAGAACGCTGGCGTTTACGCCTACAGTCGTACAATTTCCAAATTCACTATCGCCCTGGCCACGATAACCCATCCGATTACATGTCAAGACACCCAATGAATACGACCTCAATGACATCACAAGACAATGAAAACTCTGAATATTATATTCAGTTCATTGCGGAATCAACAACCCCAAAAGCAATGACCCTTCAACAAATCAGAGAAGCAACACAAAATGACCCAACTTTGCAACATGCTGCACACATAATACAGAAAAACTTATGGCATACGTTAGACACGGGCCCGTCACACCACAACATTTTCCAAAGACACAGACATTGATATTCGTGAACTAAAGTTACTCCGTAATATCAAAGATGAATTAACTGTATCTAATGACAAGAATATCATTTTACGAGACACACGCATTGTTATTCCAAAAAGCTTGCGAGCAGATGCCATACGTTTAGCCCATGTTGGCCACCAAGGCATAGTTAAAACGAAGAGCCTAATGCGAGAAAAAGTTTGGTTCCCCTTAATTGATTCACTTGTCAAATCTGCAATCGACAGCTGTATACCATGCCAAGCCACTGGACGTCCAAAACCACCACAACCTCTGTTAATGCGCGAAATACCCAAGGAGAACTTTGACACTGTATACATTGACTTTTTGGGTCCGTTACCAGGTGGAGAAACACTCTTTGTCCTAATAGATGGACGCTCCCGATATCCGGTAACAAAAATTATGAAGAAAACGGATGCTCCTCACCTAATTCCATGTTTAGACGAGATCTTTGCCACATTTGGATTTGGATCTCGGACAATGGTCCACCGTTTCAGAGCAAAGAAATAAAGAAATTCATGGATGACAATGGCATTCAACACAAAACAATCACTCCATTATGGCCACAAGCAAATGAAAGCGAAACTTTCATGAAACCACTGATGAAAGCCATTCGTACTGCTCATCTGCAAAAGCAAAACTGGCGCCGCACCATGCAGGAATTCTTATTAAATTACAGAGCTACTCCCCATACGACAACTCAAGTTGCACCGGCCACACTCATGTTTGGTAGGAACACCCGCACAAGATTACCTCAGACTGATACTAAAACCGACAAGAATACCCTTGATCATTCCGTCGAACAACGCGATAAAGAACAACGACAACGCATGAAAGAATACGCAGATCGATGGAGACAAAGTAAGACGACAACCATGAATATTGGTTATTATGTACTCGTAAGACAACAAACGCACAACAAATTTACCCCGAATTTTGATCCCAAACCGCTACGAATAATCACAGTAAAAGGAACGATGATTACTGCAGAAAGACCAGGATTCGCTATTACTAGAAACCAATCGTTTTTCAAACCTATTAAAACAACTGGGCTGTCTTCTGAAGATGAGGAGGAAATGGAAGATAGTGATGAACATGAAGAACAACGTGATATTGGAGACAATGAAAATAACAACAATCACAACCGAGATGAACAACAAAATCTAGAACGACAATTGATTGATTTGATTTGATTTAATAATTTTGCCACAAAAGAAATTACAAAAGTAACACACAAAGAAAACAAAAAATTTGTAAAAAAAATTGAAATTTGTGGCGAGGGAACCCAGATAGAAGCCAAAAGGCTTATTGGATATTGGATTACCCCGTCATAGTTTAAATAAGTATACAAAATATGTACAAGCAGCACACGGAATACAAGATAAAAATTAAATGGGTATAGTCAAACACTACGGTGGAAATATAGTAATTGAATGATATACAAATACTTGTAATTAACATGATTATTAAATAAAGTACCAAAATTTAGTACAAATCAAAAAAGTATTTTTTTAGCTTGGACAGAAATGATAGAACTGTTGGAGTATTACGGATATCAGGATCCAATGAGTTAAAAAATTTAGGACCTTGGTATTTTATAGTGAACTGTTTGGTCTTAGTTCTACAAAATGGAATATAGAATTGACCAGCACTACGTAAGTTGCGAGTGTGGACTTGATCAGTAGTTGAAAAAAAATTGATAAAGCTTTGTGGGAGGAGATTACTTTTATAAGAAAACATAAACTTACCCAAATTCAAGAAATATATATCATTAAATTTGAGTAAATTTAAAGATTTGAATAAGGGTGATGTATGAGCGTCAAACGTTACATTACATAATATTCTAATGACTTTTTTCTGAAGTAAAATGAGGCGATTAAGATTGGAGGGATATGTCGAGCCCCATATCGTAATACAGTAATTAAAGTAAGGATAAACAAGTGCAAAGTATAGTGTACGCAAAGCAGAACGGGTGAGGCAAAAGCTTGATTTGTAAATGATCCCGATGGATTTAGATACTTTACTCGCAATATGAGAAATATGAGACTTCCAGCACAAATGCTCATCCAAAATTATACCCAAAAAGGTGGTTTCTTTAACTCTTATTAATTTATGATTGTTTATTTCAACAGATAAATCAAGCATCTGCCTCCTTTGCCGAGGCGTAAAGATTATATAACTGGATTTCTTGATATTAATAGTTAATCTATTGGCAAGAAACCATTCAGATAGATTCTTCATTTCGTTTTTGATGACATTATCTAAGGCTTAGGGGTTAGGTGTTAGGGGTTAGGGGTTAGGTGTCAATTGGGACGAGAGTCCTGTTCCTTTCCCCTGTCACGATTTGTATCTGTCTTTATTTGTCTTTAATTAATTAGTTTGTATCGTGTATAAAGTGACAAATTCATTATATTATATTATATTATATTATTATAAGGCTGATAATTCACTATCAGAATAAAATACATTAGTG